TGAAGATGGTATGTTTCAAAACTAATTGATCAGATATGTCAATTGTACAATTTGTCCTCTGTTTTCAACACACAAGATGAACTTCCTATTTCTGCATAAAAATCAATGCTTCCACAAAAGAATTAACATGTTATATGTTTCGTTCTCTTGGATCATTTACACAATACCTGCTACCATCATCTAGGCACCAAGCTGAACCAATGCTGAACCTAGAGGAAGAAGGCCTTAGTGCTATCACCCAGCACACCACAGGATCTGTAAGAAGCTAGAACAGCTCTTGATAGCAGACCAGACCAAGGGCTCTTTCCTCTAGTCATCCTGCTGTCAGAGAAGCCAGGGGAAACACCTTAGGCAGGAATGCAGCAATGTCAGGATGAAGATCAACCCACACATTCCTATGTGCCAACTCCTGCAATTTCCTCAAATGCAGGGAGCTGTATTCTCACCCTCTTGAGCTGGGGTACACGTGGGGAACACAAAAGCCAGTAGCCAGCACTCAAGAGAAAAGCATAGAAACAAGTTTAACAGCACACCTGATGAAAACTAGGAAGCTCTGCCAGGGAAATTGGTGAATTAAGAAACTTCCTCCCTCAAAGTCCTTATCATGGCCAATACCTACTGATGGACCTCACCTTCATGAATGAAAACACCATTTGACACCTTGAAAAAAAATTGCAACAAGAATTCTAACCAGCACAAGAGAGCAAGCTACCTTCTGAACAGAGTGGGTGGGGAAAAAATAGAACAGCAACACAAAAAAATAACCAAACCAAACAAAACCATTACTCCTAGTTGAGCAAGCTAAAGGGTTGTAAACTGATATTTTCATACTCCTCTAAATTAAGAAGGTATACATGAAACTGAAGTTTTTAACAGTGATATCAGATACAACTAGCTATACTGAATTATTTAACCAATTTGTTTTCAAAGGATCTTATTTTGCCTGCCTTCACTATTTTTTGAGTGCTACCCCCTAATTTGAGGAATATTGAGTCAACTGGAAATTTGTGGCTAATGTGAACTTCTGAGAACACTGAAGACATATGAAATTCCACACATACCCTTGGGCACAGTAAATGGAGCTAGTTTGGAAAAAAGAAGCTTTTGGAGTGATCAAAATTAAGCAATTTTCACAGCAAAGCTAGCAAACCTCAGATTAGTTAGTCAAAGTAATTTTAAATCAGTAATTATCAATATTACATACACACTGTTCAGCAGCTTACGTAAAGTCAGATGGTGAACCTGGTCCATTTCTGAATATTACTGAGCTTTTACAGAGACAGCATCTAAAGAGCCATCACATTAGGTCCTCACTGCACTGGGGGCTGTACAAATGAAGGGGAACAATACTTCAAGGAAGTTTATGGTTTACAGTCTCAAATGATCATGTGAACTCAGGAACAAGCCATGCAAAAACTTTAAAAAGAAAAGGTAACCAAGAGTCTCAGCTAGGAGGAAAAAATCGTGGCCACACCACCAGGCTACTACACGCAACCTGCAGAATTTCTTGACAGTCTTAAGCACAGATGTTAATTATTCCAGGATATTTTAAGTATGAAGTATGTTATATTCAGGCAATTAATACTGTTAACCAAGCAAAAATAATTATTTTCTTACAAGAGAAAAATCACACACATTGCAAGGTTAACACATTAAAAGGTACTTTTAATGGCTAGCTGTTTTTTAAGAGTCTTATGTGCTAATGCTCAGCTTGTCAATGGTGGTAAATCTGACTGAAGTGCCTAGGTAGACAGGGTAGGATGAAGAAGAATAAAAGCTGAAGAGACTATTGCCAGGTATTTAGACTAACTCTGGATGCACAAGAGTTGGGTTCCAGGCAGAGAATTAATCCAAATGCCTATGCCAAGCCAAAGAGAGAATCACACCCCACCTCCTGAAATCCAGCAGCTGCCCAAAAGAACATACACTGTGCTAAAAATGGAAATATAGCAAGATGATCACAAAGGACAGCATGCTTTGCAGTCCAGAGTAAAGACCTCATAAAAATGTCATAAGACTACTTTTTGAGCTAGGTCAGGTAAGTTCTACCAACACTTACATACAAACCAGCCTCCTTTGAGCTCTTATTCCTACTAGGAATCTCAATAAGCAGTCCAAGGAACCTGCTACTGTTTTCAAACACTGAGTTCAAAAAGGATCACACTTATCCTGACTGTACTGGGCTATTTTATCTCTGCCTCCCTAATTCTCTCCCTGCAGAGCAGAAGGAAGGCATACTCTGAAGGCAGTGTAGAAGAACAGTGACAGCTGGGACCATTCAAAGTAAAAGCCATGTGCGGGAGGTTTCCTTCCCCAGCATGTCACCATCCCCTTCACAAGGCTCTCTCTCCTGCAACCCCTCACTGCTTCATTAGCTGTAAATGATGCAGCCTAGGAAGAAAGCAAAACTGTATTAGCATTCAGAGAGGCCAGCATTGCACACAGGGACTTGATCTGCTGATTACCAGCAATCAAGCCCCACACTGTGTTCTGGCTCCCTCCCCAGTTAGAACATCCCAACACATGACTTTCTCTCTAGTTCCTCACCCTCAAAGAGTAGAAATGATTAACACCACCATACCTTGCCACCCCTGACTCCAACACTAAAAAAGGAAACCCAGAAATTCCAGCTGAAAACCACTCTCACACAGCCCAATCAAATACGAAAAGGGAGAGAGTTGCAGGACTCACTGATTCCAAAAGGTCTGTTTCAGCCCAGTCTTACAAGATGTCACCGTTGTCACCAAGTTCTGCATTTTCTGTGGATACAAAGCTAAATGTATTCATGCAAATTTATCCACCTAAGTCATAGCTACTATTCTAGGCTGAAAGTAACCCACCTAGAGAAGAGATCATTAATGCCAGGTGAAGATAAACCAAAGTCAGGCACTTACCCCACTTGTGGCATGTTATTGCTCTACTATGTTGACTGGAAGCCTCTACTAATTGGATGAGTACAATTCCCCCAGTGCTTGTAACTAAGGGAAAAAGCACCTGCAGTCTGAAGCAGCTGCAGTCATAAGCACATGGCTGCTCTTCTAATAAAGGGAGGCAAAGGAGGTTCCAGGGCACTAATAATTTAATGGCTGGTCACTATTCTGAAGCTAAATAAAATCATTTTCTGTATAGTACTCCAGTCCACAAAAACATTAGTCTCCCAACATGCAAAGCAGCTTCTGCCCATTACAAAATTTTATACTTTCTTCTCAACTGGAGCATAAAGAAACAATGGCTTTCAGTTCTCTAGCTTCCCTAGCAACACAGGATGCAAAATTCTGGGTGCTGAGTCTCAGCTCCCCTCATAGTACCCTACTTACAGTAAACATTGTCTGTAATTAATCTCTGCTTTCAGTTGAAAAGGGACAGCTAGGTTTAAATATCAAGAAATGAGAAGACTTATGTTGAGATGTGTACAACTCCTCACTACAGCTGGATCATGAGAAAACTGTCCCACATTCCTGACGTTTTTAGGAGGCAGGAATCCTTCTTTTTGCAGAATGTCATTTGATACCTTGTAAGCCATAACTAAAGTATCAGCCACTGGCCAGGAAGAGAAAGGCCTGCAGGGAAGAGTTTGCGTGTATGCAGAGAACACAGATTAAGCAAGTAACAGAAGATTTGGAAATGAAGCCCAAAACAGAAAGAGTATTTTTTAAGAAAACATTTATTTACCTTTTTCCAGCCAGTACCAGGGTCTCCTGAGAATCGTGATTTTTTTTTTTCCCTTTAAATGATTTGCAATTTCTTCCAACAGAACCAGTCATCCAAAAAACCCCAAATGGTTTTTGTTTTCCTAAAAGAAAAATGAACAAACAACAATCTTAGAGCTGTGCCTTAGAGCTTAGGTTTTCATATGTACTACCGATAGGATATACTGAACTATGTCTGGCCAACTCTGGCGTATCTCCATCCTTTTACAAAGTAACAAAAGGGGAGACGAGCCTCAGGGTTTGGGATATATGTATGTATGGAAGTTGCAAATGATTTAAGACTACAGAACACTCTATACAAATACACTGAGACCACAGAGGTAGTCAGTAAAACACTGACTACCTCATGACAGCAGAAGAGCAGAGTGAGTCTTCAACCCAGAGGCCACCGGTGCTCCTGTGGCTCTCCGCTCCCCACTGCGGAGAGCAGCCCGCACGCAATTTTTGCTAATGTCACACAGACCTTTCTGCTAATCGAGAAACTTGACCTTTACTATCTATTGCAGGTATCAGGCTGAAAGGTGAAATGTTTTTTGTGATAATGAGAACAAAATGTAGATGCCATCTCCTCCATAAGTTACTGAGAGCATAAGCAAAGAAGAAAAATATGCTGGCTTTTATTTTGGTGTTTCTTATGCAAGCCGTTTTTCTTGACTAGATGACAAAACACGAAGACATGCCCGATAGTGCACTATTAAAAAAAAGAAAACAACTGGGGACGAAAGCAAAACAATGGTTTTCCCTCTGTCACACTGCAGAGCCAGTGTGTAATTTCCCCTGGGAACGTGAGACAGCCTATTATCCCGTTTACTTCCCTTTATTTTATGTAAAGATAGCACTTTGCTCTCCAGCAGGCCTGCTCCCTCAGAGGTACCCTCACGCTCCCCAGACCAGCCCACCGCAGCAGCCAGCACCTGGCCGCCCACGCCCTCACACTGCCCCGGCTTGGAGCAGCTGTGCTGCCAGCGGTAGCTCCTCTCCTCCTCCGGTACTTCAGGAGCCTCTGAGACCCACCACCGACCCCATCTCCCCCAGCGCTGCCCAAGGCATGCGCGGCAGGCGGCCGACGCGACTGCCATATTGGCGGCTTCGTGGTTGTGACGGCCGGGGCCGTCGTGGTGGTCCTCTGTAGGCCAGCTGTAATTAATTTTCTTAATTAGCCATTTTAGCTCTGATCCGCCTTCCCTGACTGGCTGTGCGTCCGTGCTTGTTGCCGGACGGAGGAAAGAGTTGACTTGCTTTCTCATCGCTTTAGCCTTCTGTTTTCCACATGGCGGTTCGCGCCCACCCGTCGCGGGCCGGGGTAGCTCTCTGAGGCGCCGGCTCTGGGGACCGCGGGTGCACGGTGAAGGAGCGGCGGGGGAAGGCTGTGGTGGGCGCCGGGTGCACCCGGCAGATGCGCAGCGGGAGGGGGCTTTGAAGTGTTCTGCGTCTCTCTTTAAAAATGGCCGCGTTAATGACTTCTTAAAACCGGGCCGTGGTCAAACTGGCCACCTCCGGAGCGCGCAGCCCGCCGTGCTCCAGCGAGCGTCTTGCGGAGCGGGACGGGCGCTCCTCCGCAGGCGGCACCGGGGCTGCGGCCTGCGGCCCGGTCGGGAGCCCGAGCTCGGCGCTGGGCTTCCTCGGCAGTTTAGATATTTTGTGCAACTCCCAATATTCACCCAAGCCTCATTACCACCTCTTAATGAGACCCCTTTACTCCGTGACGTGCAACCGCTCCATCTCATTAAGGAAATCGCTCTTCAATGCTGATTATTTTATTTGCAGCCATAATTATATTTCTTTCGGCTAAATCACGGTTTAATCGAGCCCACATGGAGGGCAGCAGCACTAATTACGGTGGGAGATGCGGCGACGGCGGCTGCTCGCCCGCCCGGCCGGAGGAGGAGGTGACGGGGCGGGCGCGGGCTCGGCGCTCCCCTGGCGGGGCCCGGCCGGGGGCAGGGCGGAGGGCCGGGGACGAGAAGGTGGTCTCAAACACAACAACTTATTACTTCTAATTCCCCGACTGTCACCAAATCACCTGCACGAAACAAGAATCTAATTTGTTAAGCTGGCATTTCTGCAGATGGAAGATCGATTTTCTCTTTAGATTTCTCTAATTGAGTGAATATAGACGCCCCGAATTAGCCGCGCTGGGGCAAGAGGGGAAGGGAAGGGGAGAGGGAGGGAAAAGAAAAAAGTCAACAAAAATCATCCTTGTAAAATAAACCATATTACCTCTAGAATTGCCCCCCAAATAATAAAGGAAGGTGGATCGAAAGGTCCCAGATTGAGTGACAGTCATATTTCTGGAACTAACTGGTTTTTAAAAGAAAAGGTTAGGACGGGTGGAGAATGCTAAGTAATGGTGCGGGGGAGAGATGGCTGAGCTCTGAAATTGCTTACAGAATTACATTTGTTTTTCTTGTGATTTTATTAAAAGTCACTCCTCATCTCCAGAATGCGTGAAAATATCTACTTTCCACTCAGATACACCACATTAACTTGTTGGAGGCGAATTTGTTTGTTTGTCTATTTTATTTATTTGCCAGATAAGATTGATGCAGTCTTATTAGCGCTATATCTAGTTAGAGGAAGAGATAAGGATGAGATGTTTTCTTTTATTCCAATTACTAGACTTGTCACCTAACTGAATAACTGATATATGATTATTTATCTTGAGTAAATAGAAATCAGAAAAGCAGCCAACTTAACACATACAAACAAAATGTGTATGTTTCTTATTACTAAATACCACCTATGTAATTGGAGATTAAAACTACGGCCTTAAAAGGGAGAAAGTTAAATACCCCATTCACGTCCATCTCTGATGTGTATCCTCTCATTGCCACACATGGTGGTTTATTTTATCCAGCCGGATGAAGAGGTTTGGGGTTTAAAATATATGGGTATGTGTTAAGCAAATTCATCAAAGATCAGTAGGAAGAGTCTTCGTGGAAGGGCGCTCTTTCCCTAAACAGAGGTGCATCCGGAAAATGCTTCGTACCGGCGCCGGTGCCTTCGCCCTCGGGGCAGCCCCAGCAATTCCTATCCTGCCGCACAAGGCAGGGCTCAGTGCGCTAGGCTTGGGCTCCGCATTTTTAAGTTTGAGAACTTAGTGCAATGCCCGAAGCCTATACATACATACATGCATACAAAGCTGGGGGGGGAAGGGGGAAGCGACTTCGTGTGTATGTGTGAAGAGTTTGCGTCTGGACGGGGGAGAGCGAGTGGGGGGTGTCAGTCATACCTTTATATTAAAATAGCTTTTTCCCCATAAAAGACTGGTTGTCATCGTTCTGATGAAAATTAATTGATAGAAGCCATCCTTTCAATCTAAGGCAACCGGTTCGCTGTAGAGAGCTGCCCCGCAGCCTGCGGCGAGAAGACAGTCGGAAGCGCTGCCTTTGACTCCGCCGGAGCGAGATGCAGATATTTAGATAAATAAGCAAATGGCAAAACGCTGTTCTTGGCGATGTTTGAGAACAGATGACAGGAGGAGACCCGAGCTCTCCCCGTCACCCTCAGGAAGGCTGCTTTAAGAACTCCTGGCGGCTGTCTTTCTGATCAGCAGCGATCGTTCTTGCCTCGGATGCCTTTAAACTTCATAAAGTTGCTTTTAAAGAAGTATATTCATTGCAGCTACGAAATGCTGCATGCAGCCTAGTGTCGTAAAGCAGCGATGATCGTCACAGTTAGTTCTGACTGGAATGAATAAATTGGAATCTGTAGCTGCTTGCAGCCTTGTCCTTCATTTCCAAAGAAGTCATATTTTCGAGAGGGTTGACTGAAATTAAAACACGTGTTTATGTTTTTCCATTTCTTAACTCCAAATTACGCCTAACGAAAGGATATGGTTTGATTTGTCATTTGTGTTTAGGGTATGCCGATGTGGAAAAGTAAGCAAATAACACTCAAAAGCATAGCTGTAATTTACAACGAATTAAAATTGATTCTTTTCATCACGCAAGAAAACAGGGAAATGTGAGGTCGTTAATTATTGAGGGAGGCGCTTCTCATTAAGGCGAACAATGCTACAATGCAGCACTGAGGAGCGGGAATGTGAATAATAATATCCGACATTTCAGCACTACTGTCTGGAAATAATGAAATAATCAAATAAAAATAATAATAACGAAGTCGCGCGTACAATCAGGCAACCAAAAGTTATATTTGATCAGCGCGGGGAGCGTCGCTAAGTGTAAAATGTAATTTCGGTGCTTTGCATACAGCAGTCCCCTTAACTGGATGGGTGCTCAATAAGTACATAAATAAAAAATTACGAATCTGATCAGCCATTTACGCTAAACCACCCTGCTGACTTTAGCAGTTTAACCTCATTTTACCGTGTTGCTCGCTCCAGGTATAATTATTCTGATAAAAGAAGGTTCTGTTCCTAAATTAGAACAGAATTGGTTAAATACACTTGTTTGTATTACAGCCTCATTCGATCAGGGCTTCAGTTTAGCGGCGGGGAGGGGAGGGGGAAGCTGTGGGGTTTGGAAAGTTCTCTACCCTTTCTTCCCAGGTCACGGCACCGGAGAATTAGGGTGACACCGCTCCCAAACGCGGCGCGCCCCGCTCCCGCCGCCCTTCCTTGGGCAGGTGGGAGCAGCATGGAAAGGGGCGGGGGGCGAAGGGGAGCAGAAGGGAGAGCGGACTCGGCCAGGACCCCAGGACAGGGCCTAACAAGGAGAAAGAAAATGAGAGAAAGGAAAGAAAACGAAGGGAAAGTGCGGGGGGAGATGATCTCCCAGTGCCTAGCCCCTTGGCAGGCGCTCCTGTACGAAATTCAATCTCTATTTTTTATGAGAAGTAAACTGTCTAAATAAATTTTATTAGGGGCAACCAATATATTTTCTGGTACTGCCCTTTGTTCCGGTTCTACGTGTGTGTAACAATCTAAAACCTATTTATTGAGGAAAAATCACTGGATCCGTCATAGAAAATCCTTTTACTTTGCTCTGAAGTGATTTCTGAAGACACTCGTGTCACTCTGAAGATTTTGGGCCATTGTGCTAAAGCCTTTCCTTGTTAGGAACTTCAGTTCCTATGATCATGTGGGGAATACCGTAAATTGTAACAGGGAACGGACTTGACTGGCAGTTTTCTGGCTACACTGGGAAAATGGAAAGATGACGGGGAATAAAATCCTTGTAAATACATCTCCGACACTGCCCAGGTGAATTCAGGCACTTGACAAAACAGGAGTGCGCGGAAGCAGAATGCCATTAGGGTATTTTACATATGCCCTATTGTCATTTTCTTTCTGACACGCTAGAGTGTCAGCCCTGCTCGCTCCGTTCTCTCCCGCGGACTTCCTTCTCTGATTTCCCCCTTCCCTTAAGACGATTTCGCTCTGAAGTCTTCGAAGAAATGATTTAGTTTGTTTATACTGCTATAAAAATCAAGAGCAATAGAAAAGTCATAAAATGAAGCGCGCTATCAATCACACTGCAACATTGTTATTCAGCAGTTACTAACACAGATTGATAATCCTTTGATTTCATCCCATTGTTATTACTCTGATGTGTCTGCACATTAACTATTACACATTTATTTATCGATCCGAAACATACAACACCACAGAATAGACGCGGAGGCTCGCCGTGCCGCCCTGCCCGTACCAAGCTCGGCAGAAGCCGGCTTCGGTCGCCTGCAGCGCCCGGTCATTTCTGCCAGCAGCTACAGCTAAAACTGAACCCCAAACACTCCGGCCGGCACCTGATCACTCGCATAACTCCGGCCCCAGGTAGGGCCCGACCCCCCCCCCCCGGGCCGCGGGAAGGATGCGTGCCCTTTCGCTCCCGCCGGCCCCGGCCCGACCCTCCTCCGGCGGCTCCGCTCCGCGGGTCCCGGCCCTGGCAGTGGCCGGAGGGCGGCTGTCGGGAATTTTCACCGCCGGGGCTTCCCCTCCTGCCCCGGAGCCGCAGACACACAGTGATTTTCAAGGGAAAAAGGCAAAACAAATAAGCCATCTCCACCGTCTCCCATCCACCCGGAAAAAGAGAAAGAAAGGGGAAAAAAAAATATCCCGAAACTCCCACCCCACCTCCACTTCTTTCTTTCTTTCTCCCTCTCTGCAGCTAGACTGTGGCCCGGCTCTGGGTTTCTCTCCCTGCTTTTAGCGGCCGTTCCGGGCACCCAGGTTCATTGCAACAGCCCGACGTCTCGAAAGCTGGATTGAATCAATGTAGCCTGAGCAGGGAGGAGGGAGGGAAAAAAAAAAAAAAAAAAAGGCAGTAAAACTGCGCTCGAGATCGGTCGGCCGGTTCCTTTGTCTCCTTGTTCAGTCGCTGCCGAAACCCCTGCACATCTGAGCTGCAAACAAAACCACTCTTGCATCTGTTCGCATGCAGTATTTACAATGTTTTGCGTAAGTCAATTGGGTGGCGAGGATAAAAAAAGCCATTGGCGCTGTATTATTTAACACAGACTTCACTGGGCTCCCTTTTCGGTGGAAGCTTTATTTGCACTAAATGAATAATCTTAATTGCATCACTTTTGAATTAAAAATCAATGTTAATCAAGTTGGAAATAGTAAATATCAGTTTTCATTGTGCCCGGGTAGAGGGTATTTTTCTTGTTTTGCAAATAAAAATACAAGTCAAATAACTTTAAAAGGGCATTATGTTCTGCTACAAATACAATTGAAACGGATTGTTTAGGAGCGGATCAGAAATGGTACAGAATTTTGCACTTAATTTCCTCAGTTATCATTTACAATAAGAACCTCTTGGCTTGACAGCCAAGTCTAAACAGTAGTAAATTAGTACAAATTTATACTGATTTTACTCTAATAATCGTAATAAAAGCTTATAGATTTGGCACTAATTACATAAATGCCTAATGATCTTGAAAATTACTCTGGTTAGAAATATATTACTAATCTAAACTTTGTTGTTGGCTGGCTTTGAAAAATCAGAACATTAGAAATGGTTCGCTTCACTTGTGCAAAGCACTCTAAATTGTTCGAGTAGTTTAACATATTCAAGAGGAAAATAAAAAGCATTTAACTTTATTTACTGCTTTGAATTCAGTTTGTAGCGATGCGAACTTAAGAAACTTTACCCGAAAAAAGAGAAAATTGGGTTTATGGGCTTTTAAATCCCGGCCCGGGAGGCAGCGCTCCCGGGGCGGCGGGGACGCGCCGTGCTTCCCTCCCTCTCCCTGTGTTGCCGTTGTGCTTCTGCACCTGGCTAAAGAGACCGAGACCAGGTTGGCGGGCAGCCCCGGAGCCGGGCGAGCCTCTGCGGCGCGGGCACTGTGGGAGCTTACCCAAGTTTCTTTTTTCCCGCCGCCCCGCAGCCGTCGGGGCCCCGCGGAGACGGCGGGTGGGTGAGAGCCGGTCGCGGTTGCCGCCGCCGGTCCCGTTCCCCTGGGCGGCTGGCGAGCAGGACCAGCCCTTGCTCAACGTTTTACATCCCCCTAGGTGGGCGCTGTGCTTGCCAGCCACTTCTAGGAGCCTGACTGGGCCGGGTGCGAGGGTGCGCTCCTGGGAAGCATTAAAAAAGAAAAAAAAAAAAGAAATGAAAACCACAATAAATAAGGGGTGACCTGGAGCGGGAGAAGGGTGGCAAATGTGCATTTGGAAGACAAGGGAAGAGGGGTAAGGAGGGCGGCGAGGGCGAGCGGAGCACGGAAGGGAACGGCGGCGCGGCGCGGGCCGGGCCTGGGCGGCGGGAGGCCGGGGCGGCGGGCGGGCGGCGGGCGGGCGGAGCGGGGCGATCCGGGCGCTGACATTTGCAGGCTGCCCTCCTGATTGGTCCCCGCGCCGAGCTGCTCACAGGTTCATTGAAGTGTTAAGCACCTCCCCGTCTCTCTAAAGGACATTATAATGCAAGAGACCCCCTTTTTAACCACACACCGAATTTTCTTTCATTTAGGGGATCTATATATATATATATATCTCATATCTTATATCTATTTTAAATAACTTAAGGCCGCTAAAATTTGGGGGGGAACAGCCTTCGCCCTGGAGCGGTGCGCGATGCTGTCTCACGCCGACCTCCTGGACGCCCGTCTCGGTGAGTTTCCCCCAGCACCCCCCCGCCCCGCGACTGCTGCACCGCCGGCGGCAGCGAGCGGGGAGGAAGCCGGAGCAGGAAATTGACAATTTGTTCCTTATTTTACCTTAATGCGATCTAAATGGGCTAATTCCTTTAAAAGTAATTGTACTGTATTGAAGTTTAATTTGATTTAACATAAAAAAAAAAAAAAGAAGAAAAAAAAAGAGAAGGAGTATGCAGATCTACAGCGAGTTGTGGATCATTTAATTTCCCTCTCCCCTGTTTTTATATACATACCTACACGTTATTATCATGATGATGATTATTATTATTTTAGGACAAAGGTGTTCTGGGTGGCCTTTTTCTGCTCTCCTGCTCGCTTCCCCCTTTCCTTCTTTTCCTTAAAAAAAGAGAAATACCTGTATCTGGCTCTTTATGGTTATTCATTAGTTTGTTTAGAGGAGCGGATGGAGGAGAGGGGAAAGATCGGCCAGGGTGACCGAGGTCCCCACACATCTGTCAGGGAGGTAAAGCTCCTGGCAGCAGGGCGGTTCGAGCTTTCCTTCTTTCTTTCTTTCTCTCTCTCCATCTCTTTCTTTTACCAGCTCCTCTGGAAAAAGCCGTCTGAACCCGACAAAACTTGTCCCCCCTTGTTCTTTCCCTCTCTTGGTCTCGGAAGGGAAGGCCTGTCAGAGAGCTGATTATTTAAGCATGACGAGGAGCTCCTCGGTGTAAAGTTTTCTCTCCGCGCCCCGGTTGCGCTAGGCCAGGGACATTGCGCTCCGTGGAGCCGAGCCCAGCCGGGCTGCGGGGCTTGCGGGTGGCCGTGGGGAGGCGGGGGGAGACCGTGGCGGTGGCCGGGTGCTTCTCACCGGTTCAGGGCGCTGGAAAGCGGCTCTGATGGATGCATGCCCGACTGCAGGGGAGTGACCGCAGCTCCATTGCTTCCGCAGGGATGAAAGATGCGGCCGAGCTGCTGGGACACCGGGAGGCGGTGAAGTGTCGGCTGGGCGTAGGGGGCTCGGATCCGGGGGGACACCCGGGAGACATGGCTCCCAACTCGGACACGGTAGAAGGGACGACCCTGCTGCCGGGGGAGGACATCACCACGGTGGGATCCAACCCCAGCTCCTTAGCCGTCAGCGCCAAAGACCCCGACAAGCAGCAAGGCCAGCAGGGTGGCCAGAACCCCAGCCAGGCTGGTCAGCAACAGGGGCAGCAGAAGCAGAAGCGGCACCGCACCCGCTTCACTCCGGCACAGCTGAACGAGCTGGAGAGAAGCTTCGCCAAGACCCACTACCCGGACATCTTCATGAGGGAAGAGCTGGCCCTGCGCATCGGCCTCACTGAGTCCCGGGTGCAGGTATGAGCAGCGATCCCCGCGCACTTCCCACCCCGCCGGCACCTTCCCCAATCGCACCGAAGGTAGCAGGGCCGGACGGCAGCGAGGCCAGAGGCCAGTCACAACGGGGCGGGCGGCGGGTGTCCCCGAACCTCAGCCCTAACGCAACAGTTCATTCAGGAAGCCTTGAAACCGGACATCCCCGCCCCCCCTTTCCACAAAAATGTCCCTTCGGGGTGTCCCCTTGTCCCCTAGCCCCCCACAGCTCGGTGGTCCCTAGTGGGAATCGGGCGGGGATTCCCCCCGCTCCACGGCCCAACTCGCTGCAGAAAAGGGCCCGGGATGGTGCAGCCCGGGAGGCGCGAGTCTCAGCCCTCCCAGTAATAGCGCGGCGCTAAGAGGCGATCCCAAACCGCCGGCGAATCGCGCCTCTTCCCGGCGGCGCAGTGTGCCATGGGGTTGTTGCCCCGGCTGCTGGTGGCAGGGCCGCTCTCCAGGGTACTGATAGCCGGGCGGCTACGTCGCAGCCCGGAACGGGCGTCCCCTGGAGCCTGCCGGCGGGAGGGTCGGCTGGGTGAGCGGGGGAAGGCACACAGGCTACTAAAAAGGCTCTTCGGTCAAAGACAGCTCTAGCTGGACTCGCAGTTTCCCCGGACTGCCACCCTTCTAATGCCTAGAGACAGGAAAGGTAGCGAGTAACTTTAACACGTAGGGTGTACTTTCTTCTCTAAAGTACATACACGTACATACACATGTGCACACAGGCATAAATGCATTTGCACGTAGTCATGTGAAAAACTCTTTAGGCAAATATAAACCGCGAGACTGCTCCAATACAGCTTTTGTGTGTAAAATGATATTTTATCGACTTTCTGGGTGAGTTCCTTCCACGGAATGAAATCCTGCACAACAGAAGCACTTGTGGGATGTGCATCCCCGCTCAGCACAGCGCACGGGAAATGCCGCCGCACTTTACTGCAGCCGGTGTTCAAAATTCCTCTCAGCCAGGTTAGATTCCTCAGTTAAATAAAGACACGTCAAAAGAAATCCCTAAATGAGCGGGTTTTATGAACGAAAACAGTCTGTTCTTGAATGTGACAGAAAAAGCACGTTTGCTTTTCAAAAGTAAAACAATTTGACTCAGCCTACACAGGACCATAATTAGTTTAAATTAAGAAAGAAATTAGGTTCACAAATAAAATATAATTGGACAACTGACTACGAAAAAAAGAAAACGAGGTCTATTAAACTTTATTGGGTTTCCAAAGGTTAATGATACCAATTTCAATATTAGGAGTGTGGTAAATGAAGTAAAATATAAAATATAAAATGGAAATAGTTATTTTTCTAACAGCACATCAAAGAATTTCGTAGGAAGAAAGACAAAGTGTTTTAATGGCCTCTGCATAATCTTAAACCAACGCTAATAGCTCGAGACTGCTGATAAAAACAGTTTAATAGAGCGGTAATTTAAATATTTTTTACAATAATGTTCTGTAGTTTAAAAAGTAATCAGATCAACATAACCTTCTTAATTAACACTTCAAAATGATTAACATTATGTAATCTAAGGCAAAACAATTTATTTAATGTATTTACTTCACAATCCGATGTATCACCGCTCCTTGACCAAATTTAAATTAAATAGTAATTGGTTTATGTTCTTATGCCAGTACTTTACAGTTTTCTTTATAGTTAACAGATTGCCTACACATTCCTTGCAGCATGTGGGCTCCACACTGATTAAGGAATGCTCCAAACAGTTAATTTATAGCGGCTGTATATGTTTTTAAGGGTTTTAGATGCTAGGATAAATCACCATTTTCCTCATTTTAGAGCTGTATTTAATGTATATGATACATTTAAATAATTATTAAAGCGGCTGGTGCTTAAACAGGAGTCCAATTCCACGTCTGATATTGCTCTGCTTTTCAGGCTGCTGTAATAAAACCATTCTTTTTATAGCATGCCATTATTAGAAACCAATTTCAGAATTATTTATAACCTGGAATGGCTTATTAAGCAGCAATGCGAGAATCATGCAAATTACACGATCAAATGCAATATAATAAGCATAATCATTAGTCTCTAGCACGGATTAATTAACTTTCAATATTTTATTTACATAAAAACCAAATCAGTGAAATAACTTCTGCACAGTCAGGCTTGCCTTTCAATATTTTATACGAACAAAAATAATGTGCTGTAATTCCATTGACCGTGTCCCCCACAATGGTCCCGTCACCTGCCACATCTTAATAGGGGACAAGCTGAAAGTATTTTCTAGTTTTCTAATGGAATGAGAAATTGCATTTTCTTCCTCTCCCAGCACTATTAAAGTGTAATGAATTCGGCCCAGAGTTCACGGCTGACTGATCGAAATGAACCTGAGATCTGAGCTTTAATACAGCTCTCCAGATTTCCTACTAAATCTTCACATTAATCATCCACTAGATTCCAATGAGATCTTCATAAAGCTTCGGCTCATGAAAGCGAAAAAAAAAAAAATAGAAAAACAAAAGTGATATTGTCTCCCCTTCTCTCTCCCTCTCTTTCTCTCTAACCCGTTTATAGCTGGGGAATTAAATGGGCTATATATTTTAAAATACATTTACAGTACGTCTATATTACTGTAACAGCAGACATCATCAAGGCAGATTTTTAGATTCCAACCTCCATTAGATTCTCACTGTTGTATTAATAATTTTCAGGGACTAGCTGCATTTCAAAAGGAGCCCAAAGTTGCCAAACGCTCGTGGTTAATATATTTCTAGAGTTGTCATGTGTGCATTTTCAACATCTCCCCCAGGTTTTCCTTGCGTTTTAATCTGTCATGCACCAGTTTTCATCTGGAAACATTCACATTTTAAAAGCATATGCGGCGTAGCTATGAGCTGAGGAGATCAGACCTGATGGAGATTCTTTACACCACCAGTAAACCATGAAACATAAAAAGATTTTGTAGCCGCAATTTAACTATTAACCCTAAAAGATAATTGAACGGATTTTTCGATATAACACTTAGCTCCCTAACGGCTGTTCAATCCCGCTAACGCGCGCCGGTCGTTCTCCATCTGGGTACGTATGTAGCACAAAACCGCGGCTCCAGCACCTCTGGCAGCAGGGATCCTCCGAATTCGAGTGGACCCGTTTTTGTCCCCTCGCAATTCCCCCTGTGATTTCGACGGTGGCGCGGCGACACCCACTCAGTCACCGGGGCGGCACCACCTCCCGAGCACCGAGAACATCTTCTGGGGGGTTTCTGGTTTTGTTTTTATAGACAAGCCCCGAACACGGGCGGTTGGATTGGATGAGTTCGGGCACCACTACCCGGCCAGGGGCACGGTACCCCGCCCCGCTGCACTGGGGTCTGCTACGGTGGCGGCTAGGGAGCGCTTCCACGCAAGGGCAAGAGCCGTGGGCCGCTCATTTATTTTCTGCTGGTGTAACTGTTATTTTTCATGTATTTTTTCCGGGCGAAGGCCTGGCTCCTCTCCTGGACCCTCTCCTCGAGGGAGGCCGCAGGCAGCTCAGTCCCGGGACTGACGCATCTACGGGTTTCGCTATAAAAAGTTCTAACAGTATCATTAACTGGTGACGGGCATACGCGTAGGGCTGCGGGTGTAAAGAGCAGCTGTGGGAGAGTTAAAGGCCGGAGGGGGAGAAGGGACAGAGTGGGGTAGGGTCCGGGCTGGGTGGCGGGTCCCGCTGCACCGAGCCGCGCCCGGGCTGGCTGGCTGGTGTCGCTAACTGTGTTGTCGCTGCCCGCCGCCCGCAGGTCTGGTTCCAGAACCGGCGGGCCAAGTGGAAGAAGCGCAAGAAGACCACGAACGTCTTCCGCGCCCCGGGCACGCTGCTGCCGACGCCGGGGCTGCCGCAGTTCCCCTCGGCTGCCGCCGCCGCCGCCGCCGCTATGGGCGACAGCCTCTGCTCCTTCCATGCCAACGACACCCGCTGGGCCGCCGCCGCCATGCCGGGCGTGTCGCAGCTGCCGCTGCCGCCGGCGCTGGGCCGGCAGCAGGCCATGGCGCAGTCCCTCTCCCAGTGCAGCCTGGCGGCGGGGCCGCCGCCCAACTCCATGGGCCTCTCCAACAGCCTGGCGGGCTCCAACGGGGCCGGGCTGCAGTCGCACCTCTACCAGCCCGCCTTCCCCGGCATGGTGCCCGCCTCCCTGCCTGGGCCCAGCAACGTGACCGGCTCGCCCCAGCTCTGCAGCTCCCCGGACAGCAGCGACGTGTGGCGGGGAACGAGCATCGCCTCCCTCCGCCGCAAAGCACTAGAGCACACAGTCTCCATGAGCTTCACCTAATGGCCGCCGCCACGTCCCCCGCCGCCGCCGCTTGGCCCTGCACCCTCGCGTCGCTCGCCCGTCCATGCCCGACCCCCGCCTTCCCCCACCTGACTTACCAGGGAGTCGACTCAGGATCTGAAACCAGACGCCAAAGGGCTGGTTTGTGGGCCCAGAAACACCCCCATCCCCCCGTCCACCCCCCGACCCCCCTCCCGCGACCCCCCCCCCCGCGCGTCCCCTGCCCCTCGGCGGCCGCGTCCCCTCCAGCGGCGGCGGGAGCACCCGGAAACCCCCGGGCTCTGATTCCCTCCCTGTTTCCCTTGCTCCTTCCTGCCGCGCCACGACCAGGCGCTCCCGCCGGCCCCCGACCGGCTCTGCAAAGAAATGCTTTGTTTGGTTTTGTTTTCCTACTTTTTATGCTTATTCAAGAGCAGGATCTGCCGCCGGCCCCCTCCGCTGAGAGGGCGCCGTCTATGGGGGCGGCCGGGCGGGTGCGCGGAGCGGCACAGAGACCCCAGAGAGAATCAAACCCGTTTTGATAAAGCATTTACAAGCGAGAGAGATGGAGAAAAAGGAAAACAAGCAAAAAAAAAAAAAAAAAAAAAGTTTTCTAAAAGTAAAGCACGCGGGGGAGGAAAATGGGGGGGGGGGGGAAGGAAGGCAAAAAAAAGGCAAGAGCACTTCCCTTTCCGGATCTTTGGTTCCGTGACAGTTGAGTTGCCGATCCGCCCCACCTTTATTTACGCATTTATTTACGTTTTGCTGCTATTCTCCCTCCTGTATCTTCCGCTGCCGCCGGCGGAGGCACCGCCGCGGCTCCCGCCCCGCCCGGCCCGCATCGGCCCGGCCCGGTTCGGCCCCGCGGCCTGCCCGCCTGCATGTGCCGGTCACCCCGCCGCAGGGCAGGGCCGCTGGAGGAATGATCATACGATGTGAAATAGGATGTTTTGTGTAGATAAAGCATTCTCGTTACATACTGGTCGATTCGTGATATGTTTTAACTTATTGTCTGTGCTTATTTATTGAATTTTGGGTTTCTTAAATGTTTGATCTAATATAAAACATATTACTTGACTTTTCCGGACACGTTTATATCAAGTTAATGTGAATGGATAAATAAAATCATTTTCAGTAAGTGATATGAAAAAATATAGATTTTGATGTGATGTGTGAGATATGAGAGGTGTCTTGAACCGCAGGCAAAAAACATAAAAAAAAAAAAAAAGACAGGACTTCCTTCTGTAGGATTCACCAAGTCCTTTGTCTCAAGTTTGGGGATAGTTTGCTTGCTTGAACTTTGCATTGAAGCCTTTCATTTATCACGATTTTAATACTTCATGACTAATAAACTTTTGTTAATCTTTCTGCGTGGTTTGTCTTTAAACTGTGAGCTGAGTGGTGAAGGGGTGAGAGCGGGGGGCAGCGGGAGCGGAGAGCGCTTGGCCCCGGACCTTTCTGCCGTCTCTGAAATGAGTTGAGTGGCTGCTGAGGGGCAAGCCCCACGGAAGAGGAACCCCTCTGTTCACATCCGCGTAAACTTCTCCGCAAGGGAGAAAAGAGTGGAGGGCTTCGGTGGCCACCGTGCAGCACGGTTTGGTTTTCTTTCTTTGTTTCTTCCTCCCCCCCTCGCCCTTTGCTTCTTTTTAATGCAATGCACTGAGATCTCTTCTCCTTGTACATCAATTACACACCTCTTAATTACACACCTGAGAGTACCCGGCTCCATAGGCACCCGCAGAAGGGTCCTTGCCCGCTCCAAAGTGCCTATTATGCATGCATATCTAATTTAAAAGAGAAATAAAAGCAGAATAAATTATTGGTGATACAGGCCGTGAGTGAGTCCACTGGGGGTCACCTGAGGAAGCAGCCCCGCGCCCTTCTGCAGGAGCCTGCTCATGGAGGTGCTGAAACAGCCCAGGATGCTCCCCCTGGAGTAGGACAGGCAAGGCAAGACAGGTCCCCTACCATAATCCACACCATGGTGATGCCTGGGGTAAGAGGTCACCATGACCTGTCTCTTCTTTCAGCCCTCCCTCTGCTTCCAAGTGTGGCCAAGCAGTTGCTCCTGTGCACCCAGTTTGAAATTCAGGATCAGTTTAGTTTCTGAGTTTGAAATTCAGGATCAGTATAGAGATCAGCTATAAAGAGATTGGCACAGAGGGTGCCTTTGGAGCAGGACTGGTCAATAGCACCCCCAGGCTCCTTACCCCATAGGGTGCCGATGGAGCAGGGCTGGTCAATGCACTGGCAGCTCCTCTGTCCCACGGGTGCCTCTGCCTGGGCCAAGGGAAGCGTTGGCCCATCTAGGTGTCCCTGGTTATTCTCAATTGTACAGCGGTGCCTTCCCAATGCCATGGTCCGCCAAGGAGACAAGAAGTCTCCATGTATGCGCAGAGGAGTGCAAAACTCACTCTATTTCTTCCAAATGTATGGAGGGTTGTTTACAAGCACGTAATTTTTATAGTTGCTTTATATTGCTATAAGCAGGACAGCTTTATGATGTAGGAACATCATAAAGTCTGCTATGGAAGATCTTTTAAAAATATGTGCTTTTTAACGGTAGAGGAAAATGCTCTCTCTGGCTGGGGGCAGAGGATTGAGATGCAACCTGTAAGAGCCAACTTGATGCTGAATGCTGAAGCTCTATGGAAGGGGTCTTACAAAGGTCCTTTGGCATAATACTCATTCCTAAAACATCCATCATTTCTTCCATATTCTAATGCAACTGTTCTGGTTATGAGCAAAGGTTTTTGATCCTACCCAACTTCGATACAATATTTGTTTCCATGGCAATAGATCTCCTTGTTCTGAGTCCTGGAGATTTTTGAAATTATACATACCCTTGGCACCAGCCGAAGCTTTGCAACACAAAGCATCTAAGCTGATGCTCTTATGTATTTAACATGGATGAAATGAAGGGGCCTCAGGTTTCACACATACATGTTACAGGTTGTGTGTGAATGATTTTATTACAAAAATCTCACGCCGATGTTAAGAGATAAAAATTAAGCAGCACTGACCAGTTCTGCCTAACAACATGAACAGCTTTACTTCATTCACATGAAGTGATCAAAATAAATGAGTGAATTCCATGTAAATTGAGAGGGAACATTTATGCTGAATAACAATTAGCCTATTACTGACTAAGTATCTAACACCAGGCACTGGGGCTGTTACAAGCTAGGCTTCTTTGCTTATTTTAAGGTGCATTTTATCTTTGAGCAATTCCACACAGCATATAAGTTGACTGAGATTTACGTTTTTATATATGGATTCATTTCCACACCGGCACATATCCACGTAGGTTTACTTCCCTCTAAACACAACATCACCCCTAATGTCTAAGGAATATACATAACGATAATGTCACTGAACCTTTCATTTGCTCTCTTGATGAAATGCTTTGACACTCTCTCTCTCCTCTCCTCTCCTCTCCTCCTCTCCTCAAATCCCTGTGGAAGGCAGAATCTGCTCTTACCTGCTGCTGGAGATTGCATTCACTGAGCAATTACTAACATCAGAGGAAAGTTTGCGCAAGGCAAAGGATCAGATAACATTGCAGCAGGATTATATTATTGTACTAGCAGCAATGATCCCTGCTTCTGGAAATAAAAATGTGGTTTAATTTGTGTTGTGGTCTTTAAATTTTCATTTTTCAGAATAAAAATCTTTGCACATGAAAATGTATCTTGCAGTAATGGAGGTATGGCAGTTAACCTGTCAGTTGAAAGTATGTAACCTTCCTTTTCTCCTTTTCATGACAAAGGTAATCTCATCTGAGGGCATTTATGTGAAGAAATAACAGCATGGCATGGTGAAACCACTGGCTCATTAATCCTGGCATCTACTTCCTGCAGGGTTTCTTGATTAGTTAGATTCATTCATCGGGTATTTCGGAGTTTTTGATTTCTCACCACTGGCTAGGTTCACTGAGTTCAGGCTAAATTGAGCCAGAAGCAATGTTTATTAGTAATTTTGTAATACAGACTACCCTAATAATTCAGTACAAATATCTCATCTGAAATATATCCATTCACCCTAACACCTAATGCAGTCTGCAGCTGTGTTCAGAGAGAACCGAGAGAACACAAGTGATTGGGCATGTATTTTCTAAATTATTAATATGAGAGCTAATAGCAAACTCTTCTTCATTTCCAAAACTGGAATTAAGATCCCTGTTTTTTTTTAAAGCAAGCCCTGACATGGAGACAACCACCCCCTGCCTGCCATTAAGGCTGAGCTCAGAGTGGTTGGTCTGGGAAGCATGGCCTCTTCAGCCTTTCAGCAAAGAGACAGAAGAAAGAACAAAGAAATTTTAGTTTTTCCCCATGTGTGCTACAAACATAGGAGAAATCTGAATTCTACAAAAGGAAGAGGAATCCTTAGGAATTAGCATACTGTAGTATCACAGAATTATCTCAACTGTGTGATAGCTGTAATAGAGCTACAGCTTGGACAAAAGGGACAAAGAAACAATGGTCCTGATCCAGCAGTCTTTAAAGCCCATGCTGACCTGGCTGTAAGTTCAAAAGATGTATGTATGAAGATCTGTGGGATTTGTGCTCTAAACTGTTCTGCCAGAAAGCTTTCCTCCATTCTATAAACTCTCTTTACTGAAAGGAGTAAGAGGACCACACACAGACCGTGTTCAATTGTCTGACCACAGCTTGTGCCACGATGGCCCATCCAGCCATAGGTAGGAGCTGGGGCCTGAGAGTCAGTTTGACTTCAGTAACACATGCAATGTACCCAGAATCTCTGGGAAAGACAGCTGACAGCCATGGCTTAACTTAGAGAAGCAGAATTTGCCTCAAAAGACATACAACCCATAGGCTCCTTTAAAACATCATGGACTGATGATCACTGGCAGTGATGCAGCTGTGAGAGGAAAACAGAGGTGATCTTGGTGGATGGGGGGGAGTAGGGACAGCATGGTTTTAATTTGTCACCTCCTCACAAGAAGAATAGCAGCAAGTGCCAGAGGGGCTGGTCATGCCTGGGATGCAGTGGGGGATTCTCTTTGATTAACTGTCATCCTCTTTTATTTGAGTAGTGCTCAAAGAAC